TGCAGTCTTCACTCGATCAAATAAAGCCAGGGGTCCACCTTTAAGCCCGTCGACGATTTTAAATGATGATGGTCTCCGTATTGAGAGAAAGGTATACAATAGTTAAAATTGGTTGGAAGTGACAAATTGAATATAAAACTTTGTATAACACGTCGTCACTTCTATATTTGCAAGAGATGGTCCACTGGTTAGTTGGGTGGTGGAGCAGCACCCATCTATCTTCATGCAAATGAGATGCAACTTATCATATCGAATCAACTGGTATACAGATAGTTGCTGGGGACGTTATCCACATGCAGTTCTGGCAGGACGGCTGGCATCCCCTGGTTTATGTGGTCCTGAAACTATATCATGTTTATCTATGAGTACTCACTGTCCTGCCATGAAACCTAAGCTCCCAAACGAACCCTGCTTAACTGAGGTATCCCAGTGGGATGGTTGACTCTTGAATTAGAAATCCAGGAAAGCCAGAAATGGTTAAGTCACTGCTGTTGGAAGCGGTGTTGTTTGCTCCATTGATGTAACGCTGTTGTCGTCAATTAAAACGTGTATTTTAGTTATACCTACATTTCGAGACAAGGCTTCATCGGGAAGTACATAGAGAACAAGACAATTATATTTAGCATAATATTCCCCTGATCACATAAAGTCATTAATGATACAGTGATGCATTGTTGTCGTTGTGGTGACGGGTGAAAGTTTAAGGTCCCATATACACGGGGCATTGACATCACACGGACAAGAAAGTGGATGTCATCATTTCTTTACATTATAGTCCCATAAACACATAACATCTAAACGTGTAAACAGCTGTATATGATGCAACATGAAAAGCTGTGCTTAAGGTCTTGCCTACACTAAGTTTAAACAACAAAAATATAAAGCACATTTACAATGCTTCGCTGACTTTACTCACCTGTTTGAAAAACATGAACGGTAAAGCGGGATTGTAAAGTGGATTTGCCTGGATCTGGTGTGTACTATACAAAGCTGGTCTCGATCTGACTGGACCCTGCCTGGTATAAGAAGCTGTTTGCCTCCCACTGCCCGATGACGTCCACACCACTGGACTGAGTGTTCTTGACCAGCTTCAGAGATCCATCAGCAGAGGAGAACACTTGACCATCAGCTCTGAAGAAGGTGGGAGCGCTCTTCAGCCACACATCTCCCTGAACAACGACGTTGTAGGTGCAGTCATTGTTGACGTTCACAGGAAAGTCCTGCTTTCCCTCGGAGACTCCTAATATGGAAACATTTTCATTACAGAAGGAATACTTTCCTCTTTTCTAAGTAAGCAAGCTAGCGTAACATTGTCTGATCATGATAAGTGGACGCTGGATGTTAATTAATAACGCAAATGATTCTGATGATACTTGAATGGTCAACAGGACATGGATGATAATGCAGTTTTTAAACCGAACATGGTAAACAGTAAGAGGCACTGAATTTGTTATTGGTGAGATCTAGTATTCACCAGTTATTACCAGCCACAAAAAGCTCCTTGTTGTGAATGTATTTGTGTTTTTTTTAAATTCAGGCTTATAGTTTTAATCCAAAACACATACTGCTGATTTAGCTAAGTATGTACAGTATTAAACAGAAAATGATTTGTTCTATCACGGCCATTAAAATTTAATATAATGGGCACAGTAGAACGACATTTTTCTGTATTTACTGCGTGCATGGACCCGGCGATACCATATAATCACAAATCTCGTGTCTGCATAACCGTTCTGCAAAAAACATTTTGATCAGCATTCAACTGGTGCTCAAAGATGTGACAAAGTGTTTTGGTGTAACCGTTTTGTTGAGAGCTTTCATTGTCGTGTTTCTGTTCATTACCTCTAGTTGAAATCATTTTAGAAACAATATGTTTAGGTCATTAATTACGACAAAAGTTGGAATGATAGAAAAATGTTATTACTGAGAAATGTCCAGGTACACTTCATAAAATTAAATATGAAACAGATTTATTTGAAAATACTTCCCCATATTTGTGCACAAATAAGGCGAGATTGATTGTTTTGCATTATTGATGTAAAAAGTATACTTATTAACCCAAAGCAATATATACAGAAATAGGTTTATACAGGCCTTAGTTCACATCTTCAACTGATGTCGACTCAACCGAATCGTATGACTTATATATGAATTTCACACAAGGTCGTTCACTATCTGAGATAACCGTGTTTTTTCAAGTTTGTCCGTATGTTTTAGACATGAGTGATAATTTAAAGGCATGTGTGCGAACATAAGTGTAAGTCGTCGCCAGGTCAAGCCTGTGCTGCAATTCAGCAAAAATGACACCAAATGTCATTGTGTTGTGTTTGAAGTTGAAAAAGATGTCAATCGAAATCCAGAATGTGTTTGACCACTGTCAGATTCCGAGTTAAAAATAGTTAAGTTTTGCCTACAGCATGAGTGTAAATAGATCGAGCGGCTCTGTGATAGTGTGGCAGAGTTTTGAAGACTCGGCTACAGACAGGCCGCAAATCACGTTATGTAACTATTGCCGACTGCCATGCTTATAAAACAAATATAAAAATATGGTTACTGTTTTTGCAATTTAGTTTTCTTTTACGTTTGACATTAGATACATTTATATTTTTATCTGTTATAATTATTTATTTCACCATATTATTCTGGAATATTGCAGACTGGGTTGTCACAATTATCCCACTTGACAAACTTATCGAAAAAGTTCATTCCTTGATCCATGTTTTCCTTTGGTTTAAACCGTGCGGGTTACAAATACACCTACAAATGTACTTATTCACCTACAAGGCTTCAGGATAGTCTGTCAAAAGTGAAAAAACATGCCATTTGCAGTATTCGGAGAAAACAATATGTGAAATGTGTATGTCCTCAATGATAAAATGGTTCGGAAATTTTGGGTTTAGACTTTAATCAAGATGTTGCCCTTCTTCCAAATAGGTTTCTAGTATTTCTAGCAGAAATAGGCGGTGGGGTAGCATAGTGGTAAAAGCGTTCGCTCGTCACGCCGAAGACCAAGGTTTGATTCCACACATGGGTAGAGTGTTGGAAGCCTATTTCTACTGTCCCCCGCTGTGATATTGCAGTAATATTGTTAAAATCGGTGTAAAACTAAAATAACTCACTCACTGTAAAAGAACATGTGTGTACATAAACCGTGTGTTTGAAAGTCTGACGTTTTATAGGTGTATAATTAATAATTACCTACCATTTTGACCACCTTGTCATTTTCCACGTAGTCATGAAGATATTATCAGAAAAATTAGCCTAATTGCTTTTGTGTGAACATGTCGTTTGACTTTGAAAAACAGTCGTTCTAGGAAAATAACAAAGGCTGGGGGATGACATGTAGCATGGGCCTTCTACTTGTGTAATTCAGTCGAAACTGTTTCAAATAATAAAACCAACGTATAACGTATATAGGCCTTCCTTAACATGTTAACTCGTATATTGTATCCCTACTATCTTTGTCGTGTAAATCTTATATAAATTCAAATCTTTTAAGAGCAATGTTTGTTTGTCTGTTTGTTTGCTTCTCTCACCCATCAATATTCCAGGATAATATTTTGTTGCCTCTGAGTATGTACATGTCATATAACCCACCTGGCGTGGTATGATTCGACGGTCAACGAATTCAGAGATGGTTCCCTCTGATGTTTGCCCTTATGTGATGTCAACTCATACTTTATGCTTAAGATTTACAGGTGAATCATTAGACTGACATTCCCTAAATTTGGGCAAAGGTTTTTTCAATATGCCGACAGGAACTGTTGGCATTATGGATGACTTGGTCGTGCACGATTTTAATGTCCAGTTAATAGGATGGCTGCTCGAGTGTGATAGAGGCATGATGTTTTAAAATATATCTTGCGCTAGAATTCCTCGAAAAGGTTCCGTACATAATACTTCAGGATTTTTGTAGCTGGAAGTCGTTCGTCTGTGGATTTTCCATTTCGCTCAGCCACTCGGAGTGGAAAGGAAGTGTCAAGTGGGAGTTGTGATACAAGATATAGATCTAAGTTTGTAATCGTTGAATAGTATCGACTTTCACGTGGTATAAACAGGGATCTTTAGAGAAAAGGTGTTCTTATATTTTGAATATGCTTTTCACTACTTGAGTACTAATTCATTCATATATTCTTCTCTTGTGTGATAAATGATTAAACTCTTTACTCATTATCGGGTAATATCCGGCAATTTGATAATCTGCCGTCACATTACTTGTTTGTATTGGATTCCGTGTATGTTGATGAGCACTACGACATAACCATAAGCCATGTACATTTAAGCGAAGGAAAACAGGGGAATGTATAACGTGACTATATACCTCTGACTTTACTCGTAATCAGAATCATGCATATTCCAAAGTCTAGGTAAAATACCTGCTAATTACTCTGTTAATGTTTCGTCCGTGTTCGTTGGTTTCTGGGACCCAGACTTTCGACCCACATCAACCTCACTCACTCGTGTTCAGTATACAGGACTGAGTATTGTCTGACTTGTTGTATAACTGTTGATTAAAGCTGGCTTTACTTGACGTATCACGCGTTGGAGCAACTACTGTTGATTAAAGCTTGGTATACTTGATATATCACTCGTGGGAGGAACTACTGTTGATTAAAGCTGGGTATACTTGATGTATCACTCGTGGGAGGAACTACTGTTGATTAAAGCTGGGCATACTTGATGTATCACTCGTGGGTGGAACTACTGTTGATTAAAGCTGGGTATACTTGAAGTATCACTCGTGGGAGGAACTTCTGTTTATTAAATCTGTTTGTACAGATGAACATAATCATTGACATTACAGACGATGCCCTAAAACCTCCGAGGAGCCATCACATCCATCTTAACTTGAGTATCTTACCCTGATCCGGGTTCCTTTATGGTCTGAATTGAATTCAGAAGCACACACACGTTTACAAATCAACAACGGAAGTAAATTCACACTTCATGTACTTTTATTCACATCCATATAGGCGTAAGAAATGTTAACATGACAGAACACTCAAGAGAGGAACTTATATTTAGGCACATGTATAATCGTTCATTCACTGGACCAAAAGTCACATTTTACACTATTGAAACAAATGCAAATACAGTATGACCGTATTTGCGTATGTTCATCTATGTGTAGTAACTGTGATGTTAGTGATATAGACTAAACAGTATCTATCTAATATGAAGATACTTCTTTAAAACTAGACACATGGATTAGATAATAGATGCATGTAAAATATTCTCACACATGTATCATATTGATTAAACACCACGACATGTGCCTGCTGGGAAACTGAGGGTGGCCAGTCCTGCTGCTCCGAGGGTACAGGTCACAGGTGAGGATTTACCATCCACGTTGAACCAGAAGGAGACAATTTCGTGGGCAGCTCCAGTGAGGCTGATGGTGATACCATCGGCAATGTTGATGGCCGTAACTCTCTGGGGTGACATCGGCACCCACTTGTCTAACTCACCCTGAATCAGAACTTGTTTACTGCAAGGGAAAACATTGATATCACTGTTAACTTCGTTCAGACAAAATATATGGTTCAGTTACACGCTTTTATTTCCTTAGGTTGCAACTAAAAATATACATTGTACAACCAAATTTGTAACGTTTGTTTACAATGTGTCCTATTTTGGATTAATATCAGTTGAGGTCATCTGTGCTTACAGTTTGAGAAATCATCATGTCTACTCATCGATATTTCGGTATCTCCCCTGATACCTTCAAGGTATATTCACTGCTTCATTAAAGTAAACCCTTTTAATGTCTGGACCTCTATGAAGGTGCACAAAAGAAGACTCTCAGAATTCTGTGCATCACGTTCAAGCCTTTATCAAATGACACATGTCCTTTCTGTTCATAATGTTAGACTATTTATATAACACAGTTAATATTGATTTGCTTAGTATATTGGATCAGTTTTGATATGTATTTATATCTGCATGATTTGAAATGAAGGAATACACCTACCCATTGATGTTCAGTACAGGTGATACATAGAAGAGACAGAAGTCAGCCATGGTACAGCCACTCATTGTCAAAGGCTGGGGGTCTGTCAATGGTTGGATCTTGTTGGGATTGCTGGCTGGGAAAACCATGGAGTTCGGAAACTGGAAATATTCAGTTTCATTTCAGCGGTTCACCTGACTAATTACAGGTAAATCGAAACGGTAATCTACGGGAATCATGTGACAGTAGAAATAAGGGAAGAAGAAACGTAATGTCCTACCCCTTGATATCCAGCCATGCAAGGTGTCATGGTGTAGTTTCCCTGAAGATCTGCAGCGAGGATGATACCGTACTTGTTCTTTCCACCAAAATCTGAATACGTGGACCATACCTCCCCATCAGGACCCTCAAAGTCTGACCAAGCCATCTGGAAAATATTCATGACAATAAAAACCTTCTATTATATAAAGGTATTTCATGCCATTTCAGTGTGTTAAATATGTCGTTCTATGTCATTTAAGTAGGCATTAACCTTCGGTCATACCTTGTTACCATAACATTTAACATTTCAAGCTGTAGTATGATGCCCTTTGTTGCACAATGATAAACCTTTCATTGTAAAAAGGTATTTTATGTCATTTCATGAAAACATGGAAAATATGAAGTTTTCAGTTGTATCAAGTCATTTCATGCGTGTCTATCATTGCATTCGTAGTTTTATGTTATTTACCACTGGATAAGCCCTCTTCTAATCACAACAGCATTAGTTTAATGATATCCTGTTTTCATCAAAGTTTAAATTCATATTGGTCAGCTATATAGTGTAATCTATGAAAGCTGTATAACTTGATGGGTATTCAAAGGGGTAGCGCATAGTGGGCAGATGGGTGCTTTGTGAGTAAGTGAGTAAGTGAGTGAGTGCTGTTAGTTTTACGCCACACTCAGCAATATTACAGCTATATGGCGGCGGTCTACAAATAATCGAGTCTGGACCAGACAATCCAGTAATCAACAGAATGAGCATCGATCTGGCCAATTGGGAACCGATGACATATGTCCACAAAGTCAGAGAGCCCGACCACCCGATCCCGTTAGTCGCCTCTTACGACAAGCATGGGTTACTGAAGATCAATATTCTAACCTGGACCCTCACGGGTATATATTGCACGACTTCAGTCAGTCTTGTTGGAACCGTTTAAGCCCTTTCGAGTAACTAGTTCCCCTGCTAAGTACTCCACTGTTACTTCTGATCAACAAAACTGACTATATATGCCTGAGGTTCACTCCAAACGACGGGACTGTGTTAGTGTAATTTGTCAGAAAGGTTGTGCACAGGTACCCTCCGTATTCTGTTGTCAATTGAAGTCGCCGGTCGAGATGGTTTCAGGATCAGACCGTCAGTATTTACAGATCTATGCAAGAGATGAAGCGACGGTGAAAATCTATAGACGTGAGTACCAAGATAGATAACAAGGAAAAACATATGTAAACAAATTATATGAGTAAAGGTAATTAATACAAATACAAAGAGAGCGTGAATTAGGCAATGAAAGCATGAACATGAGTAAATAAAGAACGTCGGTGTAAAGACATATCCAGTCATAGGTGTTAAAATCAGTGATAACAGCCGAGAAAAAGAGAATTAGGTAAGCAAGCCCTGCCTCACCGTTAACATCCGGCATTCACAACATGTGTCTGCAATTACATGTATGTTTTATTGCTTATATGTTAAAGAAAAACGTTTGGAAAATACATTTGTTTTATAACACATTGGGAGTCGGTATTTAACTATTAGTTTGTAGCTGACTCAGCATACTAAAATATGCCACTGAGCATCGACCCAGATGAATTATCTAATAAAAGGACAATGCAAAGCTACGCACTGACTATCCTCAGTAGAAAACTCCGATTCGTGTAAAGAAATACAAAACCAGGCGCACATGTGCACATATCACTTTGATAGCATCCACTGTGTCTGTATTCCGTCGTCTGTGACGTCATTAAACAATTGAGCGTGACGTCAATAAGGAGAGCCGTCACACTTGCTTACTATTACAAATATACATGAATAAAATGGATAATAAGAAATTATTACACTCGAGCAAGTGTGTTATATGTTAGTGTTATGAGTATTCAAACTTTCACACTCTTTTCGTGTAAGTCATATGACACACTTGCTTGTGTAATAATCTCTCTACATGTATGTATAAATGAAAAATGAATACTTAAAACAGAAGCGATCGATAACATATGCAGGAGTAACACAAAATAAATATAGGAATTAAAGATAAACATGTGCGAAGCAAAACTGAACACAGAAGTAATACATAATAAATGTAATAATAAATAAAGAAGTACAAACTACGATTACAGAAACACTAATGGATAATATGGAAACATACAGGCTAAGAAGATGGTTGGATGAAATAAAGAACGTGCAACCTACTTCATGACGAGTGTCTTGTTTGTGCCCCCAAGCATGTCACCGATTCCCACTGGTCCTGTGCTTAAGGTTGCAACCACAGCATTAAGGGGCGTGTATGGATCCGAGGATTCTGCAGCACGTTAATCAGTGACGATATACTATGTGTCTTCACCAAGCCTTCTACAATATCATTATGTATAATACCTGTTACACATTTTCAACTGTACAAGACATTCTGGGAAGAAGAAAAACCCCGAAACAAATGAAGATGAGCTATTGATGCGGATTCGGAACTAGTTTACTCCATACTGTAAGTATTTCCAGGCTGAACGCTGGTCGTCCAGAAAATATCCTTGAAGGGTGCAATGCCAATTGCCCATGCAAATAGTGACGTCACACCGATCTTCCAGTTGTCGGTGCCTGGTACGTTGTCATGGCTTGCACGAGCCTGAAACATATATTATATTTGTTTCAATATTTTGGATGACAAAGTCCATATTTTGGTCTGTTTCTGTGGCGTCATCACGACCAAACATTGTAGAGAGGCAAATGCAGTTAGAGTACATTCCAGATGTAGAAAAAAGAGGCCGATAAAATAGAAATAGAGCAGACCATTCAGGCTGTCTCACCTGTTTTCAAAATAAATCGAAGCTCTCCTCAAAACTGCATGATAAGAGGACAGTGAACTTTTCAATGGTGAAATTTCATTTTATTCCCACAGTTCTACCATTTGTTGTTTAAATTTTACAACATTTCAGATAGAATTGAGCATACTCTGTTTACTACGATTTCAAAGTGCATCGAAGGAATCTTTCTCAGAAGTTGTTCCATCAGGGTTACAAAATTCAAGGCCTCGGTTAAATTTCAACAGGCTTCATGGAAGTCATGTGACAAATGATGTCCGATTCAATTGCTAATTTATCCTTCTTCGGTATGTCCCTGTGCAGGTGTAAATTATCAAAATCCAGAGGTATAGATAAGCTGCATATCTGCGTAAATTACGCAAATATCTATGTGAAAACTCAATTCTTATTAAGTCTTTTGTGTACAAGTACGCTTGAATTTTTGTAAATACTCAATATATTTGATCTTACATTCGTACACACAAAAATGTCAACTCTTACCGGTGCACATAGATGAAATAACCGAGGTATATCGAGAGGTTCTATTTCAGCACATGAACTTGGCAATCTTTCTTATTGTTTCTCATGTTACAGATCCGATATAAATAACATTTAAACTTTTATATTTGTACAATTAATGGAAAATGACAAAATACAATATTGAGTTTGAGTGAGGTGGGTACAATTTATTTGGTTACTCAAAGGAAAATTAGGATACTCAGTTAAGATGAACACAGACGGGTACTTAACTCAATGACCCAAAAACTTATCTGCAGCCCTGAAGATCACTCACTCACTCGGTATATCTGAAAATGTCCGTCTTTCACTCACTCACACCCGACTTACTATTTATCAAATATGGCTAATATCAGTGTACAACCATATTCCAACTCACCTGCGTGACGACAGGTATTTCCAGAGATTGAAGCATATGTCGTGGGTAGGACATGCAGTACTGGATGGTCAGCCCGTTCTTGGCAGCCCCATTTCCCATCTGAGTCAGCCATTGGCGGCCAAGGTCGATGTCAGTCAGGAGCTTTTGGATTCCTTCAAATTGTACATTGAGGTAATCCTACAGAAACGAAACAAAATTAAACAGCATGTACTCTAGTCTGATAAAGTTATTATATTTGATAATTAAAGTTAGTACCTGTTCGTAGGCAATCAATCCCCATGTCCTTCCACCTGCGAGCAAGTCAGTCCAAAATCTCTGAAAAGTAATCAGAAACTCACAGTTTCGTCAATTCGTCATGAAACTTGGAACAACCCAAATTTCCATCTCAAATGATGGTTGAAGAGGAAAAACTATTTCATTTTCCAATTTACATGCAATATCCAGTAGCGTCAGTACCTCTTCCAGTGGTAAAGACTTTGGACCATCGATCAGGAAGTCATACTCTCCTCCATTAGCCTTTGCGTAGGTTGTGTTGCCGGCCCTAACCACAATGATTCAAAACACAATTAGAAACAGACCATATTGATGTAGCAAAATTAACTGGAATATCATTCAGTCACTATAAATGTTTACATTAAAATGAATATTTTTAACAAAAGCTAATTTTTAATGAAGCATTCCATGTCTTAAATACCCATCAAGGGCATCGTTTCTTATGACCCTGATGTGACTGTTTTAATCCGGGCTTGGTCTTTGTTGCTTTTCAGTTTTGTTCAACAAGTATTTATAATCATTCTTGATTCATATATGAGGGAAGTTTACAATCCTTGAATAAACAAAAAAATTGCATGTCTATAAAGCCGACTCTTATGTTTCAATTCAATGACCTGACTTACCAGAACGGGTTGTAGCCAAAGACGGGTATCTCTGTCTTGTTATAAAGCCACCTTCATCACAGGATGAAGTAAAGCAGGACGAAATTATGTTAGTTATTGTCATCCACCAGACTCGAAATAATACATATATATGGTACCGATACCGATTAATGAAACTGTACATATTTTCGAGAAACATGAAGCTTGGGTTTAAGGTAAATACAAACATTAGGCATCATACATACATATGGTGACCGAGGAAATTAAATCTTTAAAATCTTGTGGTTAATTAATACCGAGCGATTAAAAGTGGCCAAAAAGTCGCCTGCTTCAGTCTCGCCCGCCAACGAAACCACAGACAGGCTACGTAACTCTGCAATGCAGTGACGTCATATGAGGAACGATTTTCAGTTAGTTGTAGAGAAAGTGTGTAGCACGCTCATCATTTTGATGATTTCTCGACATCAACGACGACATGCCGAATCGTTGCTTTGTGGTCAATTGCTCCAAGGGTCGGGCGATGGTGTCACCATGCACAGATTTCCACAGGACCCCGCAGTTCGTGCTAAATGGGTTATGTTTGTGAGTGCGAAGCGAGCGTTGTGGAAGCCTGAAACGATATCTTACTTGTGTTCAGATCGCTTCACGGAAGTTAAAGAATCAAAACTACTTACAAGTTGTAGTAAAATATGTTTATGATTGATGACCATAAAGATTTTCCATGACACAACTTGTAACATAACGATTTCTTCCTCGGAAGTGAGGTTGTGGTCGAAGTAACAATAATATTGTAAGTAGTATTATATTGACACCCATCTCGCTGCCAGGAGAGAAATTGTTATGTTATAAGCTATGTCATGCAAAATCTTATTGGCCATCAATAAAATACATATTTTACTACCAGTAGAAAGTAGTTTTGAATTTGTAACTCGGTGAAAACAAACCTAAATAGCATTTATCCTCAGACTGGCGGATGTTCCCGACAGGGCGCCGCCATTTTTGAAAATCGTAAAGTCTGCTAGAATTAATGAGATTATAGTTTGTTTTCATCAAGTTAGAAAATCAAAACTACTTTCTACTCGTAGTTAAATATGTATTGGAATCATAACCAAAAGGATTTTGCATGACACAACTTGTAACATAACGATTTCTTCAACGGGAGCGAGGTGGGGGTCGAAGTCACAATACTGCGCGATATATTTCTTGCTACATTCACATGGTTAATGTCCACTCACCAGTATGTAGATACTAGTCAATGTGCGTCTTTATATTTGGTCTTATAATCCTAATCAGTTTATTATCATACTTGTATGCATTTTGAAACTAAATAAAAAGCAGACGATCTGATGATACTTATAGTGAATTTATATCAGAACTGTAATATCTAGACATTTTATAGTTTGCCAATGTGAATCATAATTCGCACACACACACCCTAGTGTATGTTGTCTGTCTCATTACACTTCACGGCGAAAACAGTGATTCTGTTGAATGCTACGACAAATGAATAAAAACAAAATGAAAATATTAAAATTAAAACAGATTAAAGTTATAGGAACAATATCAGGCCATTACCTTGTTCGAGGAATGTATCCATCAATATCCACAAAACTGTTCCAAATGATGTGTCTTTTAACAGTTTAATATACGAAAAAGTGATAAAACTTTTCAGGTATAGGCGTATAGTCTCATTGGTCACCCAAGATAGCACACCTGGCAACTAATTGCATAATGTCCGCCTTTCTTTAAAAACAGTAATTTAGTTAGCCAATAATGGGCAATCAATCAATGTATTGCCGGTTAATCCTTTGAAAGAAGGACGTTGTTTTTATGCAGACACGGACACGACAGAGTGTATTCAGTATAGATTAGTAAATCTACATACATAAACAGTACCTTTTGACAATTCCGCTGTGTAAGATAAAAGTAATTAATCAATCAGCGTGTTATCGGTTAATCCTTTGATCGTTGTTTATAATGTTGAATATTTACTCAAGACACAAGAAATGCCAAATGGGAACCTTTGTCGGGTAATCTAAGTGTGTTACCGGTACCGTGTTACCACTAATTATACCTGTTATAAATTCATTAACTGACCATCAAGTGAATGATGACACATAGCATGTGTAGGTTTATACCACCTAACACGGGTTACAACAAGGGAGTTTTAATTGCTGTATTGCAAGTGAAAAGTTATGGGCCGACACTGTTTTGAGAATACAAACAGATTTTTACATGACATGATTAAATATCGAGGCAAAAAAAACACAGAAATGGGATCAATTTATACAAATAGGGCCTAACGACACCAATCGATTTGACAGAATCGTCTATGAAAACAAGTTGTAACTCGGAAACTAGGCAAAGCAGGAGACACAATTAAATGACAGTAGATTGTGAGAACATATAGCTTTCATTTTCCACAACAATTGTCACGATTTCAGGTTTATACAAGCCTGTAAACAAGATAATTTACCCCCTAAAATGTAGATGAATTCTGCATCGGCCCTCAAAGCTATTCCTCATATGACGTCACAGAGACGCGCCTCTCTGATTGGTTGAAATTTCGTTCGCGGGTGAGAATTGTGCACTGTTGTCAAAAAGGTCGATTTAAGTCAATTAAAGGTCGAAATGAGTAGTTTTAATGACGGGGTTTCATTTATAACGATGCCAGTTAGTGATGTATGTATTTGTACCCCCTAGGGTTTATGTGATCTTTAATGTATCAAATGAGCAGACAGTATATTTGAAAAATACAAAAAATCGTACCTGATCGGACATATAAAAATCTTGCACAATAATAACTCTTCTATGCCAACATATATTGTTGATGAGGAACGTCAATATAACATTAGAGTGATTAACATAATTTGATAGAGTGTTAAAGTATTAATTCAGTTCAATAAAGGAAGAAACCTTACTGTGGTCCATTGGGGAAAACGTCAGGTGGAGACGACCACGAGACAACTCCATTGTGACAGTCATGGTACCACGTTACGTCATACTGCATGTACCTGTCAAGTAAACAACAAGGTCCTTGTCCAAGAAGTACCCA